AGCTCTAGTCTAGACAACTTTTCTATAGAAAAAGTAGCTCTAGTCTAGACAACTTTTCTATAGAAAAAGTAGCTTTAGTCTAGACAACTTTTCTATAGAAAAAGTAGCTCTAGTCTAGACAACTTTTCTATAGAAAAAGTAGCTCTAGTCTAGACAACTTTTCTATAGAAAAAGTTGCTCTAGTCTAGACAACTTTTCTATAGAAGAAGTTGCTCTAGTCTAGACAACTTTTCTATAGAAGAAGTTGCTCTAGTCTAGACAACTTTTCTATAGAAAAAGTTGCTCTAGTCTAGACAACTTTTCTATGGAAAAAGTTGCTCTAGTCTAGACAACTTTTCTATAGAAAAAGTTGCTCTAGTCTAGACAACTTTTCTATAGAAAAAGTTGCTCTAGTCTAGACAACTTTTCTATAGAAAAAGTTGCTCTAGTCTAGACAACTTTTCTATAGAAAAAGTTGCTCTAGTCTAGCCAACTTTTCTATAGAAAAAGTTGTTCTAGTCTAGCCAACTTTTCTATAGAAAAAGTTGTTCTAGTCTAGACCAGTTTTCTATAGAAAAAGTTGCTCTAGTCTAGACCAGTTTTCTATAGAAACAGTTGCTCTAGTCTATGTAGATATTCTGTAGAAAAAGTTGCTCCAATCTTAACCACTTTTCAAAATTTATTAAAATGTTGTTCTAGTTTTGGGAAATTTTTTACAGATAAACTTCTTTATAGAAAAAGTGATGCTAGTCCAGATTATGATGTTTACTTGGACTTGAAAAACTACCCTAATGTAAATATGTTTGTAAACTGCATAAAAATGGTATGTTTTATGGTCACATAGTACTTGTTTGTATGTATATATGTTATGTTTGTATTTGCTAATAGATATCAGTATGTATTGACTGCATGATTACACTTGTATACATATAACGTTTTAAATTACGTTATACATTTATACCTTTGTATTTACTCTGCTTTATGTAGGTATCATTTATATTTTTGCTGATTTCAAGATGAAACTTTAATATTAATTGAGCTTATTGTTAATTGAAACCAAGTACGATATGGTTTCTGTTTTTTTTTTGCATTTTTATTGCAAATACATGCGTTTATATACACACAAAGTATAAAAAAATACATACATAGGTATGTATTTATGTATTACAAACGGAAATACAATTTACTTCCGCTTTGTTGCTCATTGGCTTTTCTGTAAATATTAATATTACTGAATGTTTTTTTTTTGTTTTGGTTTTTGAAAACCATTTAAAACTATTTTAAACTACACACATACATGACATTTGTAATTATAATTTGCTCAATATACAAAATTTTCTTAGGAAAATCTAATTTAAATAAATGAAGAAACTAACATCTACTAATAATAAAGAATTTAAGAGTGGCTATTAGATAACAAAACCAAACTGCTGTTACGTACAAATAAAATTTTTACAAATAAATTAATGAATAATAGAACATTTATGTTTGTTTAAATGATTTTAATGCAATAAATACATTTCTGTGGCTTACGTTTTTTTTGCATTATTGTTTTATCTGTGGTACACACGAAAAAAAAAGTGCAATATCAACTATTGGTTTAAATAGCCGATCACATTTAAATACTATTAATGGTTTCTGCTTTAATGAATTGTAATAAATTTTTCAATTTTATACATTATAGTAGATACAATTCATAAAAATAAATGAGCTATAATTTAGCCGTGTTTAATTGTTTCCATTTGTTTCCACTTCAACAGCCTCTTTCCAATTTATGCTTATTTTGTTAAATGTGGAATAATAAGTTTTAATAAGTTTTTGTTTTTATTGCAATTTATTAATTTAACATGTTGTGATATGGCGCCAATTTTATTGAAACATGTTAAACGCATTTAAGTAGTTCAGCACTGATACGCATTTGACAACTTTGTAAACTAAAAAAATTTAAATCATTAATTGAAAAAACAAATTTGTTTAAATAACTTTGAGTTAAATAAGAGATTTTAAATACCTATGTACTGATTGTATTTATTTCAAATTATTTTCTATAATATTTAGAGCAATGATGATTTATTTTAATTAAAAAGCATTAGCGTACTTTTATTAATGTCGTTCAGACTTTGTTGAGCTTTCAAAGGATTTGAAAAATATGCTAAATGTAGCGTTATTATGAGACATGTTTGTATATCGTTTCTAAAGAAGATAATTTGCAAAGAATTTTAGATCAATTAGCAGCCTTTGAAACAGATTACTCGAGTGCATAGACAGTCGTCAAGTAAACGAGACAGAGGACCGTCGACACTTTACGCCCATTTTATTTGCAGATTATGATTTACGTGATATGAGAAATCTCTGTTGATCAAAGTTTAAACTAAAATTAGCATTAAGCTTAATAAATATAACTAAAGTATTTGCATTGACCACGCCCACTTTTAAAATTTTGAAAAATATACCACAATATTCAACTATTGCCATGAAAGTTGTAAATATTATTTTATATATCAAACGGTTCTACTAAATTAATAACAAAACAAGTAAAAAAGTATAGACGGGCTTGCCCGCCCATATGATACCCTACACCAGTTGTGAATATTAAATATAATTTATTTCATAATAAAGCTTGAATATTACCTTGAATATTGCCTTGATTCCGATTTATTTATGCAATTTATTGACGAAAAACTTATTTTCTAAAAGAGGCTTTATATGCGGGATAGAAGCAAATGTGGACCGATCCCGATATAATGGGCTGGATAGATTTGTATTTATATAATATTTGTCTGTGCTAAATTTCATTGCAATAACAGTGCTAATTAATGAATTGCGGATATTCAAATCACTTTCTGAAGGTGGCTTTGTATGGGGGCTGGGGTCAAATGTAGTCCAATCATTTCGAAATTCGGCAAGGTCATCAAGGCTTGTATAAAACTTAGTTGTGCGAACTTTTATATTATACATAATTATAAGCTTAAAAGCCCCTTTCGGGGGGTTCAGTTGTATGGGAGCTAGGTGAAATAATGGACCGATTTTAACCATTTTCAATAGGCTTCGACCTTGGGTCAAAACAAACGTGTATATTTCATCAAATTATCTTGAAAATTGCGACCTGTACTTTGAAAACAACGTTTACATGGACACACGGACGGACGGGCATCGTTAAATCGACTCAGAAAGTGATTCTGAGTCGATCGGTATACTTTAAGGTGGGTATAGTACTAATATTTTAATGCGTTACAAACATCAGCACAAACACATAATACCCTTACCACTATGTAGGGTATAATAATAGCAAAAAGTGGGCGAAATTATTGGTTATGGGCATGGTTATCACCAAAGTATAACGTTATCACAATAATTGTATTAGTTTATCACATACATTTTAATAAAAACTTTGTAAAATTGACTCAAATTTCTTATAAAATTTTAATACAAAAGTAGGCGTGCCCTTATTATAACTACGCCTACGGTTCTATATTGAAGACTCAGAAACAGAAATATACCACCGTTTACCTAATCATAACACAAGCTTCCAGGCAGAAGTCCGAGCAATAACGGAATGTGTAAATTGGATTAGATTAATTATGGCGTCCACAGCCCTTAATATATTTACCGACTGCCAGAAGGCAATTAGGACGATATCAGGCGATAGAATTAAACGCGGTGTTGGATTCTAGGAAAGCTTTTTAACTGAAGACACTCCCAGAGGTAAGGTTTACATCATATGGGTACCAGGCCACTCGGGAGTAGTCGGCAACGAAAGGCGAATGTAATAATAGGTTTAAAGGGAAGAAAGCTGGAGGTAGATAACCTGACAAATGCAGAACCTTTCGACGCAACAAAAGCTGAATTAAAAATATGGGTGAGAGAATCCCATAAGGCCTCTTGGAATAATGAAACGGTGGGTAGAACCACAGGGATCTTATGGGATGACTCTGATGAGAACAAGACGAGCAATCTGAGCAAGTCTGAAGTTAGTATAATAGTACGTATTCTGAGTGGACACACAGGATTACGAGCATATATATACAAAATTGCTCGTGCGGATTCAGACGAATGCAGAGAGGACATGTGGAGAGGACAGTGAAACTGTGGAGCACTTTCTTTGCTACTGTCAGGTATTCGTCGAAGTTAGATCCAAGTACCTTGAAAGTGCTGTTATTCCGGAAATAATGATTATCTCCAATTCGAAAGTTTTGGTCCATTCGTCAAGAATGACTTCTCCTAAAAGTTCTTCTTTAGACCAGCTTTTAGGGGAGTTATATAGCTAGTAAAGTTCTTGACTTCTCGTAATGGATTTGTATATTTCCATGCATTAAAGCCTTTGTACTACATATCTGTCTTTTTGTAACCCATGGATTACAAATTAACTTTCTCTTAGAATTAGTGGTAACCATAAATGATAAGTTAATTATCCAGTTTCCTGGGCCCGCTGGAATATTTAATGTAGTTTTAGCAGACTGCATCATATATTGTCTTAGGACTTACGGATCGATATGTTCGGCATTACCGCGATGAATTATATTATCATATATCTTGATCAATATAATCTTTAGAGGGCCTTTTATTGCAATTTGGGTCAATTATAGACCAATTTTACCCTACACGACTATAGTGGGCAGGTTATTATGCGTTTGTGCTTATGTTCATAACTCCCAAAAATATTGATCCTATACCCACATTAAAGTGTACCAATTGGCTCAGAATCACTTTGTGATTTGTTGTAGCTATGTCCGTCCATACGTCTGTCTATCTGTCTGTCTGTCTGCGTGTCCATGTAAACTTTGTGCGCACTCTGCAGGTCGCTATTTCAAGATAATTTGATTAAATTTGGCACTTACTCTTCTTTTGATCCAAGGACGAAGCCTATTGCATATGGTCAAAATCTGTTCATTATATCGTATAGCCCCCATAGAACCATAAATTCTTAATTTTTTTTTATAAATTGTTAATTATATGTTAGTGTTAGTAAATATCAATTTATAGTATTTTAATAACCTGAATAAAACTTTTTATTTTTACAGATATGAGTGCTTATTTGCAAAAACCAAAAGAGTGAGTATCTTAATTCGATTTTATTTATGTCATATTAGATCTTTTGTGTCGTTTTCGGAATGAAATTTAGATAATCGCAAAACTACTCCCTTGTAAACATTAATGTAGTCTTTGATCCATTTAGTAGTTCGATCTATATGTAACAATGTTGCTCATGTTGCTCTATATGTAACCATGTTGAGGATCATGTAATCCCATAATTTTAGCAAGGGAGTTATCTTGGGACTATTCTGATGTAATGCATTGATGAATTACGTGGTCCTAACCTAGGATATCTCAATGTTAAGTGGAGTAAATATTTCCATATAATTTGATCAGTTCTTAAAGCAGTCCTAGTCGCTTGAGGAGTACTCTTTACATTAGTGTGTGGAGTAGTCTCAATTTTTGCAGGAAAAATATATCTTGAAATAATTTTTTATTGTTATACTAATAAAATAAATTTTTCATACATAATTGAAACGCATTGGTAAGACGATCTTTATAACAAACTGTTTTCATAAGTATAAAAATTACTAACAAAATTTTTTGCTCTTCTTTTTTCCTTATTTAACTTCAAATATTTTCATGTGAACATTATTTTCTTTTCTTTAATTTTGATAAAAACTAAATGCAAATAAGATGTTATATTTGTCATGTTTCTACAGTTGTTTTTGCTGCTATTGCAACATTACGCCAGGATACAAATCATACATGAACGAATAACTGAAATTCCTGTAAATAATAAGTAGTAAAAAAAAGAAATTTTTGTACAAGTTCTCATAGTATGTTTAAGAAATTATATGCAAATATTATTCTTGGAATTCGGTTCAAGGAGAAATTGAAAAAAACACATACATACATATGAACGTAGAAACAACTTTCGTGCATTCATGAATTAATGTGATGTCGTAGTAAGTTATAGTTAGAGTTGCCATAGTAAACTTTATGAGATTTAGTATTTCAAAATGAAAATTCTTACAGTTAAAGAGAAATAAATGTGCCAATTTCTAATGGTTTTCTAAAACCATTTCTTTGTGGCATTTCCTTTTTGAAATTAGATTAAACTGGCAACACTAGCATTAGTTTGAAAATGTCTGTATATGAGTAGTAAAGAATGAATGAATACATTTTATACATACTACGAGTATAGTACATTTTACGTAGATTGATATGACTGAAAATATGTTGTATATTTTTTTTACACACATGTGTCACTTAACTGACAATATTGATGATGTTTCATTATCATAGACTTTTCAGTTTGTTTTCCAGTATTTTTTGCCCCCTTCCAATATTTAAATGTAAATATGCGTGAATTTTCTTGACATTTTTGTTTTACTTTCTGTCAATATAAGCAGTACACACATTTTTATTTTTACAAGTGTTGAAATTCTTATTTACACGCACACATACTTACTTCATTCTATATAGTATATTCAATATACATACATGTATCTGTGTAAAAGATGACACAGACACTCTAAGTATGTTTGTAATGTTTAAGGTATTATAATAACTTTAAATAAATTCTTTAGAACCCTTGACTTAACAACTATAGACTTTGTCATTCAATCCATTTCAGATTGATAAATGTTTACTTTCCTTAGAATTTCTACTGTTTTTCTTTTTATTTCACTTTGAGTAGATTTTCATTTTATTCATACATTCAATCGTGTGTATTTATATATGCAAATCGTAAGAGTCAATAATGTCAACCTGACTATGTCTACATATGAATTTATTAATGTATGGTATGAATTTTACCTTTTGTACACTCAAGAAAAATACAATACAACTAATATAAATGTCAAAATAAATACAAGAATTAAAAAAAAAACTTGAAAATGTCAATGTTTTAAGGCCCCATTTAGTACATGTCATTCAACATTGATCAGGTATATAGTTCCATTGTAGTAGCGTAGGTCAAAAACACATTTGTTTGAAAGAGCCTTTAACAATATTTACGGTCAATTCTTTCGCACTCCGATTCCAATGTAATAAACGATTATAAATTATTTTTAAGTAACATCTGCCTGAGATCATCCACCAGGACAGGGAACTTTAAAGGTATTGTTTCGTATAAACAACTCCGACAATAACTGTTATGGTCTGACATGAAATCATAAAGATCCCTGTAAGTATGCCTTGAAGAAGGATTATGTTCTAGTTCAGTTGTAGTTCAGTTCTAGTTTAGTTCTAGTTCAGTTCTAGTTCAGTTCTAGTTCAGTTCTAGTTCAGCTCTAGTTCAGTTCTAGTTCAGTTCTAGTTCAGTTCTAGTTCAGTTCTAGTTCAGTTCTAGTTCAGTTCTAGTTCAGTTCTAGTTCAGTTCTTGTTCAGTTCTAGTTCAGTTCTAGTTCAGTTCTAGTTCAGTTCTAGTTCAGTTGTAGTTCAGTTCTAGTTCAGTTCTAGTTCAGTTCTAGTTCAGTTCTAGTTCAGTTCTAGTTCAGTTCTAGTTCAGTTCTAGTTCAGTTCTAGTTCAGTTCTAGTTCAGTTCTAGTTCAGTTCTAGTTCAGTTCTAGTTCAGTTCTAGTTCAGTTCTAGTTCAGTTCTAGTTCAGTTCTAGTTCAGTTCTAGTTCTAGTTCAGTTCTAGTTCAGTTCTAGTTCAGTTCTAGTTCAGTTCTAGTTCAGTTCTAGTTCAGTTCTAGTTCAGTTCTAGTTCAGTTCTAGTTCAGTTCTAGTTCAGTTCTAGTTCAGTTCTAGTTCAGTTCTAGTTCAGTTCTAGTTCAGTTCTAGTTCAGTTCTAGTTCAGTTCTAGTTCAGTTCTACAATTCTAGTTCAGTTCTAGTTCAGTTCTAGTTCAGTTCTAGTTCAGTTCTAGTTCAGTTCTAGTTCAGTTCTAGTTCAGTTCTAGTTCAGTTCTAGTTCAGTTCTAGTTCAGTTCTAGTTCAGTTCTAGTTCAGTTCTAGTTCAGTTCTAGTTCAGTTCTAGTTCAGTTCTAGTTCAGTTCTAGTTCAGTTCTAGTTCAGTTCTAGTTCAGTTCTAGTTCAGTTCTAGTTCAGTTCTAGTTCAGTTCTAGTTCAGTTCTAGTTCAGTTCTAGTTCAGTTCTAGTTCAGTTCTAGTTCAGTTCTAGTTCAGTTCTAGTTCAGTTCTAGTTCAGTTCTAGTTCAGTTCTAGTTCAGTTCGAGTTCAATTCTAGTTCAGTTCCCTTTCAATTCTAGTTCAGTTCAGTTCTAGTTCAGTTCTAGTTCAATTCTAGTTCAGTTCTAGTTCAGTTCTAGTTCAGTTCTAGTTCAGTTCTAGTTTAGTTCTGGTTTAGTTCTAGTTTAGTTCTAGTTCATTTATAGATTTTAATTCGGAATGTCCTATCAAAACTTTGTACAGGTACGACCTGTATATAATACATGTGTTATCACAAAGTCGGTCTAGCCAATTTTTAGGATGGTTCCTTTAATTTATTGAGCCTGGTACTCGACAATGCGACTTTCTACCTTTGGTGCAACTAATAACCAATAGGACCCTGTTTTATAAGTCTATTTAACAGAATATACCAGGAGTCAATTGCAGTAGGATTTGACTATCAGTTTTACATTTCTTAGGGATATAAGGCTTAAAAATAAGGTCAAGGTGTGTGCATTTCCTTGACTAATCCAAAAGCTTACAATGCATTCGAGATGTAATAACGCAGCGATAAAGGTTGAAGTGTCTTCTGTTGTAAATTATTGGGATTGTCCAACGAAAATCCATACAGAACGCTCTTTTCTTCGAGATGTATTGGACCCATTCATCCTGAAATGAATGTGATTGCTGAAGATGATTTTTCATTGGAAATGTAATGTTTCTGACATTTGCATGCAAAATGGTGACGATATGACTTTCAAAATAATGCTAGGAATAGCTTAATGAAATGCCCTATATACATACATGCATATTAATTTCATCCTTTTGTCAATTAATATTCAATTATAAACTTGCTAATCTAGCAAAATTATTTTTTCTAATTATTTATTAATATAATAAAATTTTCAATGATTTATTAATTCACCTTTTGGACCGTAAGCATTATCATAGACATCTTCATCTGTTAACATATATATTCTTTTATATTTCACCTTAATTTGTGTTGACTCCATGATGAATTCTCTGTGATTTATCTTTTCAAAGTTTATTGTTTGTTTTCAACGCTAAAGTGTTTCTAAATGACACATCAAATAAATCCCTAAAATACAATCTGTATTTCAAAATCCCTTAACAAGTGTGACTAGAAAAATATTTATTTACCATTTTTTTTTTGCTGCTCCCCAGTAGGAACTCTAGCTCACCTTACAATATTTTTTTATGTCAAGTTTTTCTTTATAGTAATGGTTGAATGTTTAGGGCGGAGATACCTTTATGCTTTTTTTCAGCGCTAGGGTCATCAAAAAAGTAAAGAAGAAATAAAAAAGTAACAGCCAGAGAGTGAAATCATAAAGAATATGTTTTTTTTATACAGAAAAAAAGAATAAAAGTACTATATATTGTTTATATGATTACATACATATATCATGTCAGATTTATATAACAAAAATGTTGTTGTTGTTTCTTTGTTATTTTTGTTATATTGTTGTCTTTCTTTGGTTGTATTTTTGTAATTGTTTGTTTTGGGTTGTAAATTGTTTATAACATATTTTTCATTTGTTTTATCATAATGGCTTTATGACACATATTTTATTGTTACATTTTTATTAACAGTGTGTTGGTAATAAAAATAAAATTTCAAAGAAATTATTTTATTTATTTGTACTTTACAATACAGAAAATTGTTTGTGGCATTTCGCTTATTATGTCTTGTTTAGTGGCGACTTTAAGATCTAGATTAAAAATTTTGCTAAAAATAATAAATTTAAGTTTCCAAATCAATTTAAAACGTTTGTATTCAAAACCCTTATAAAACATTTTAATCTCCAAATTAATATGTATATGATCTTATGTTATGTGTAACAAATTGTTATTATAACACAAAACTTTTTATATATAAACACGTGTTGTTTCTAATAAACGCACAATTATTACTGAATTTATGTCCACAGTTTAGTTATTTAC